TACATGACTTTAATACTTATGACTTGTAAACAACGCCGTTTTGATTTGTTTATGGGATTTCCTGGATAAAAAGTGTCTGGTACTGGCAGAGATGAAGTCTTGACTGTATCTGTTGACAGTTTGTCCCACAGCAGACCAACGAAACTTTCTGGTCTGCTCCTCGGCCCCTGCATCCTGTGGTTTATCCCAGTCCTCACTTGGCTCAGCGGCTATCTTAAGCTGTGGATGGAAATTTATTACATATCAACCTTTCATTGAGCCAAATGGTGTTTACACAAGCATACCTCATTCTGAGACAGTGTTGGTGCTGGTCTGAGAAGCCGCAGTGCATTCTGGGTAGGAGCGGCGGGTTAAAAAAAAATCCCCAAATTTATATCCCTGGCTCGACCCAGATAAGTAACGCTGTGACTCTGTGTAGATTCTCCAGAAGGTTGGACGTTCGCCGTCCTCGTCCAAGTCAAACACAGAAACACAAACGTCCAGATATGCCGCACAGCACGGTGCAATGAGAGCAGCACTCCGTGATTCAGAGCAGTCTGATTTACTGACTCATAATAGAGTGCGACAGCGAGACAATGGGAAAAGGCCGATGCCACTAACTTTCACGAAAAGTAATTGCTGTTGTATTTTTCTCATCCGTCCAGAAACTGTAACCCAATCCGACGTGGACGGAGTTACAGAGACAATCAAAGGACTCACTCGTGACCATACATCACTGAAGGAGAATGCGTTCTGCCCGATTGGACGGTGATTAGTATCTTTGCTCGATGACAGATGTTTAATTGATTAATTCAAGGCTGATTTATTTTCACTGCTCTGTTTTGAAAGGCCACAGTTCTGACAGAATTACTCCGGGAAGTATTGCATTTGGCGACAATCTTGGGTTCCCATACACAGGCAAACTGAATTGGGTTCAAGATGCCTTGGATACAAGGAAGCTGTCAGGCTATAGCTGTAACCTCCAGCTGAACTCGCAGGAAACTCAGCTCATCAGATACATATGGTTCTGGCTCCAGTTCCTTTTTGGCTCTGAAGAGTTTTCTACACCTGACTACTTCTGTCACTTGCAGAACTTCTTTGGATTCTCCAGGAGCATGGCAGCCATGATTACATGATGATATAATCAGAGGATCACATGAACATGATTATAGAATCAGCCAGTGATGATTGAATGAATTAAATATTGGCCGTTTCTTGATGGACCTATCAGAAAGAAAAGCAAAAATGCTTCAGACAAACAAAATTCAGTGCCACTGGTTTCCTTTTCATTTTACAAATTTGATTTGAAAATCTTGTTAACTGTTGGCTTATTTGTTTATTTCATGCTCAGTCGCTATATGATCTCACAGACTGACTGAAGCTCCTAATTTGCATAACCCTCACAGGACTTTGATCTGTGAGGGTTGAATACAGGTGAGTTCCTGTATTCAACGTCCCTGTTGCTGTTTTTATTGTAGTTTTAAATGTGTCAGCTATGTAACAGCTAGTCCAACAGCAGAGCTGTAGATGGAAAAGTTTGACGTTTCAAAAACTGCATTACATTTGCATAGACGCATTCTATGAAACACTGTTTTTTTGTGGCCTTGTGAAATAATTTATGACCGGGGGTGGCTGCAGCTCTGCACCTGCAACCCTGAACATTAATAAGCAGCAAGAAAATGTACAAACAATACAACTAGTAATTCATTTCACTGGAAAGAGGAATAGATTTGTTAGTCAAATTGTTCCTTTCACAGACAATCTCATCTGCATTCGTTTTCCTCCACAGAAATAGAAACGTTAGCCGTGTTAGGGGAACTCTCCTGAAAAGTCACTTATTACCCTCTGGGCCACATTCTGCGCCGCTTCTACATATGAACATATTTGTGTGTGTAGCTAATATTTAACCTAATATAAACTCCTCCGTTGTCCAAGCCGAACACAGTGTTATTAATGAATTAATTTTTCTCGTCTGTCACCAGCTGATTAACAGAGGAACTTGCAAATCCATTTTTGTGTGTCCCTAAGTGCCCATTTGGCCCAATATCCACGGACTATTGTTTCCTGGATTTGTGCCAACAAGCTGTGTTACACGTACAAAGTATGTCCAGTATTTGTTCACTGGAAAAAAAAAGTGCATTTGTCCTCAGAGCTGCTGTGTCAGTTGGCGTCTATTAGGGTTTTATTAATCTGCAAATTCCTCTTTAAATTCACGCTGACGTCAGTGTTGAACTTTATCATCTTTCAGGGACAGGAATAAAATAAACGAATGGATAATTAATTGTGAAATTAAGCACAGGAGGAAGAACAGCTTTTACCCATCATAACATCAATGTTTCATCTTTGTTCTTATCTTGTAAAACTAATGAGGAAAACAGGTCACAATATATATATATATGTATATATATATATATTTCACTTTCATACATATAGTACATATCGTTGAGAACTTCTTGCCTATTCTTGCGACACACGCCCACCGTGTGTACACACACAGGTCATATGTGTCACACCCTGTGATGTTCACTGTCCTATAGGATCAGTGTCACTCACTGTCTCACCCGGGCCCTCCTTAAACCTCCTCCCTCTGTTTCTCACTAACTGGATTATGCATAGCCATATGATGTCATCACACTACGCTTCGTGTGGCCTTTTTTGCAAATTCTATTAATGATTAATCATTGGCAAGAGTGGCGGTTTGACCCATTATTCTGCTTTGATAGTTCCTCTTGTGTGAAACACACTTCCTCTGTGTGAGACTCATAGTTTGGTTAGGGTGGAGGAGATGCTTTGTATTCCCTCCTTCGCATTTCTCCTCTGACTGTAGTAACAAAGTGAGGGAGAGGTCAAAATGCCACAGAGATGAAGCTGTGACAGCTTTCTAATAATCTGACGGAGAGCACGAAAAATAATCCAACAAAAGTCTTGAGCACACAAACACGCTTTTGCTTGTGACCTTTTGATCCAGCTTAATGTCTAAAATGAACCAGAGAGACTTTTTTTTGGCTGCCAGAATTGTACCCTTGTGTCTGTCGAGGAAACCCAAAAGGGCTGAGTCAGAGATAACATCTCTTCCGGAGGCTGGGCCAGCGATGCCCTCCTTTGAAAGGCAGCATGGAAAGATCAACAGGCATCTCCTGGGGGGAGTCACTGGGCCGCAGTGTGCTGCTGCCCCATGGTCAAACAGCCCTGAGGCCCAGAGTCTGCTGCTGCTGCTGCTGCTGCTGCTGCTGCTGCTGCTGGGTTAACATGCACTGTTTACTTTGGTAGGACTTTCAACTCTGCACAGATATCTCTGCATTTTCCTACTTCTGTCCAGGCCAGTCTGTGTTTTCCGTCCATCTTTCGGTCACTCCTTTGCAAATAGACAATGCCTGTGTTTCCAAATAATGTGTAACATTGGAAAACAGATACACAGATTTTTTTTGGAAAATTCTTTATTATTATTATTATTATTATTATTATTATTATTATTATTATTATTATTATTATTATTATTATAATAAGAGAAGCTAAGTTGACTCTTCAAAATCACTGTGTCTGGTTAACGTCCGTGGTTGATATGACTCTCGGCCTTCTGAACATCTCTGCTGCTCAGAGCACAGGGAGGATTTTTCTGAGCTGCTCTGTGTTTACATCTCCTCCCTCTGTGCACCATGGATACTGGTTAGACGGTGCCATGGTAGAACCCCATGATCTGAGAAATATTAAATATTTACTGCTGTTTCCACTTCACCACTGGCCTTCATTTGGACAGCCAGATGTAGGTTTTTATAATTCATCATCTCGGGAGCCCAATCACTCATCAGCAGTGTTATATAATATTCAGCACAAAATTAATATATGCTTAAAATGGGCATTCTCTGTAGTCTTGAAAAAAAAAAAGCAACACCCCGTGTGAGCTGCCGTTACACACATATTATAACACATTCAACCTAACGTGACAAGACGGTGCTTTAATATCTAATCTGATCTGAATCACAAATGAAAGTAAAAGTTCTCATATCTGATATTATCACCTACTGGAGGTTAACTAAACAAAAAGTTATAGTGTTGTATTGTAGTAAACATTTATTGGCTGAACTACAACATCGGCAACCATATAATTTGTTCATCTTCATCTGTTTCATCCAATCCAGGATTGCAGGAGAAGCTGGGGCCAATCCCCATCTCTCATTGGCTGAAAATCACAAGCTGTCGAGGAGAGGTCACCAGTCTATCACAGACCTACCTGAAGAGACGAGCCTTCGTTCACGCACGTATTCACAACTTTGATCCACCATTGTAAATGCTCTCTCAAAAGTACACATTTGTGTCCAACAGCCCAGCCCATATTAGCTCATGCGTCACCTATACGGCCCACTGATGACAGTGATGTAATTGGATGGACCGCCTCTGTTTGCCACGAGCTAGCTACAGCCGTAGTATTGTCACATGTTGACCAAAAGTGTGTCTTAGACATTAAATCGAGCCTTTTTAAATGCTATTTCAGCTACACTCAGAAATATTTAGTTTATTTTGTCAAGCTGAATGTCGGTAGTGTTTTCGGTCCTGTAAGGTCAGCACAGACAGGTCTGAGCCTGAACTCGTAACCTTGTTTGCATCATAATAAGGAGGTCAATCAATGGGTCATTTAGTTTTCTGACTGGGGTTTGCAAAACTCATGGCAACGGGTGCAACAACAGACGTTTTTGTCTCTGTCAAAACTGTTGATGTGACTGTTGTGTGGTGTCACACATTCCTCCACACTCGATAAACTCAGCTAAATCAATATGGCAAATAGACGGCAGATAAGGGAAACAAAACCAGGACAGCAGTCTGAACCGTCTCTGAAAGAATGTGTATGTACTGTGTATATTTATGTATGTATTTATGTGTTTTTATGTACCTATCTATATCTACATAAATATGTATATATTGGTTCCGCTGAGACAAACACCCTTTTTTGGGACAATAATAATAAAGACATCTGCTCCCTGTCATTCCCCAGGAACTCCGTCGACGTT